TTAGTTTTTTTTGTCAACCTTGACCAAAGAGAAAAGGAAAATTGAATTTATGGATGACAAACCGTTTTTTGGGTAAGAGGATTGACGCTGGTGAGTTTGCATTGTGTGACGATGACATTTTGAAGCTAATCAATCTAGCTGTGGAAAAGCCCCTTTGAAAGTCTATGAACTTTTGAAGCGACTACACGGTGCTCCAACTTCTGTCTCCGTTAAATTCTTCTTCAAAACGTGCCGACGCTCCAGATTGATAACTCTAAGCTCCAAGCATCAAATCGATGCCTACTTCGCATTCTAGTTCAGTACATCAGAGACCAATAATAATTTGAAAAAGGGGCAAAACTTGTTGTTTATTGGATTAAAAACGAATAATTAAGGTTAGGGTTTGGCAATTAGAGAAAGAACTTCGAAGTGAGGGAGCAACGAAGAGGGGCACAGATGATGTAGTATAGTAAAGCCCAAACTTAACCCCTTCTAGGCATCAACCACTCATTTCTAATTCCCTTAGGCACGCGTATATTCTATACCAAACCTTTTTTTTTATTTTTTTCTTTTCCTCCTTTTATCATCCTGATTAAATAAAATTAAAAAAGTACTATAATATTTTTTAACAGCTATTATTGACTCAAAATTTACAAAGCTGTAAAAAAAAAGAGTACAAAAGAAATTTTATATAATCAGCCACTCCACATGATGCATTAATTAGATATTATCATACTTACACCAGGCTGTTGTCAAATAGTTAGTAATTTTTTTTTTAATTCATTCAAGTAATAGCAAATGCAAAATTAATTAAATAATGCTTAATTCAATGTTTTATATAATTATTTTTAAAAAATAATATTTAGTAGGTTTGTGATTCAAATTCTAATATTTGTAATTTTTTTTCTATTATCAGATGATAGCCCTTATTATAAAATAAATAAAAATTTAACTTAAATTTGGTTCATCGTATCTTATCCTGAGATATTATATGCCCAATTAAGGAAATGTTTTTGTGACTAATTATATTCTTTAATTCTATCTTTCTATACACGTTAGAATAAGGAAGTTCTTCCAATGACCTTTATCTAAGAATAGTAGGTCAATCGTGTGTTTCCAATATCATTGTAGCTTTATTATTTTTTATAGGGTTAATGTTACAAATAATTTTTGAACTATAATAAAATATTTAATGTAATGCTTAAATTTTAAAATTTTATAATATAATACCTGAATTATAAATATACTAATTAATATAATATTTAAAAAGTTATTTGTCTATCATGTGTCATAATTTAAACTAGTCACATTAAAGGTAAATATTATATTAGTTACATAATCATAATTCAAGTATCGCATTAGAAAATTTTAAAATTCAAGTATTATATTAAATATTTCACTATAATTTATTAACTATACATGGGATTAACCTTTTTTTATTACTATTGTTAGGGCATTTTATGGTAAAAATGATATAATGGCCTTTTATCACAAAATAATGACTCACCAACAACTTAGGATTATTTTTATCTTTTGATCTGAGCTGACATGGCAAGTTGACCTTATTCCTTAGAGTTCATATCAACTCGATCAATATCGTTCTACTTGACAACGTGTGAATATGATGATTTGTTACTCTTTTGTTGGGTTTTTTTTGCCATGTCAAGTTGAGTTGACCTCATCAGCACTAAATTCAATTCCAATAGCTTGGATCACTAAGATTTGAACACCTTTTTCTCTCTAAGTATAATACTTTTTCTCCTCCTAGGTATGGATAATCAATTATCCATCCTCTTTATAGGTTCCACTATTTCTCTATTTTGAACATTGAGTTTAGCGTTAGAACACAAATGCCAGGGATAACTCTGATCTTTATTTTTTATGGATCTTCATTCTCCCTTAATTTTCAAATCTTTAACCTTTATTTTTTAGGGATCTCCATTCTCCCTTGATTTTCAAATCTTTAACCTTTCAAGTTAAGCTCAACACCAACAACTATAAAAATAAAATAATATCAATAAGGGTTAAATAAAAAAAATAGCCCTTATGTAATACACTTTCTATCAATTTAGTATTTAAAGAAACAAAAATCACAATTATGTAGTAAAACATTTGTTTCGTCGTACACTTTGATACTTTAGACTAACATCGTTAGTCAAATTACTAACATAGTATAAATACTCAATAAAATTATAACACTTGTAAAAAATGTACAGTTATCATTAGAGGTATATTAAGCCGAGTTTAATTGATCTAATAAGAAATTTGAGCTCATATTCTATTCGAAATTCACTATTTAAAACTCAACTCAAACTCGATTGAATTTTAATTTTTAAATTTAAATTCGACTTGGGATAAAAATTGAGCTACTTGAACTTGTTTGATTAAGTTCGTTTATTATATAACAAAAATTAATTCTTATGCTCGACATCAAGCTTTAGCTCAAATTAATTTACATAAGGGTAAAATAATAATTTTTAATTAAAATAATTAAAATATATTAAACTATAAAAATTTGATTAGGCCCAAACTACTTGAATAAGGTATTAGGATGCTTGTACTTAGCTCACTCAATAAGTCGAACTACTCAAGCTCGGTTAGACAATGATCAAACTGAATTTAAATTTTATTTCAGTCAAGTCTAAGTAGTTTGTAAATTAATTTATTATTTATACCCTTAGTTATCATGACGTTATATTAGAAGAAATCTTCAAAAAATAAAAAAAAATTTTAAATTTTAAAAATTTAAAAAAAAATTCGATTTTTTGAAAAATTAAAATAATTAAAAAAACTGAAAATTAAAAAATCTTAAAATTTTCAAAAAAACAAAAAATAATACTAAAAAATTAAACAAATCCAAAATTTTTCAAAAAAAATTCAAAAACATTTAAATCTAAAAAAATCAAAAACAAATTTGAAAAACTAAAAGTAATTAAAAAATTTTTAAATAGTTAAAACTACAAAAAAATTCCAAAATTTTAAAAATATAAAAATTTAAAAAATTTAAAAAGTAAATAAAACGAAAAAATACTTTAAAATTTTCAAAAAATAAAAAGTGTTTTTGTAAAATTTTAAAAAAAAATCCCTAAACATTTTTTAAAATTTTAAAAAATCCCAAAATTTTCAAAAAAGTGAGAAATTTTAGAAAAAATTGCAAAAAATGAAAAAAAAAATCTGAAATATTAAAAAATTTGAAAAAAAATAAAAAATGTATTCTAAAAAATCTACTAAAAATCTGAAAAAAAGAAAAAAAAAATCCAAAGAATTTAAAAATATATGAAAAATTTATAAGAAATAGAATTTTAAAAAAAACCAACAAAATTGAAAAAAATAAAAATGTCAAAACCTAAAAAGTAAAAATTAAAAAAAAATCTAAAAAACAAAAAAAAATCGTTGGGCTATATTTCTTATTTTTATATGGTAATATTTTTTGAAGTTTTTCAATTTTGAATTTTTTAAAAATATTCAACTTTTTAAAATTTTTCTTTTTTTTTATAGAATTTTTATAAAACATTTTCGGTTTTTTTTTTTATTTTTTTGGATTTTAAAATAATTTTTTTAAATTTTTAAAGTTTCCAATATTCAATTTTTCATTGTTTTTTGGAATTTTTCAAAAAAATTTCATTTATTTTGAATTTTTGGGATTTAAAATATTTTTTTCTATTTTGTATTTTCAATTTATCGATTTTTTAATTTTTTTAATTTTTCATATTTTCCCTTTTTTAAACTTTATTGGAATTTTTTTATAAAAAATTTATTTTTTTGAAAATTTTAGGAAATTTTTTAATTTCTCTAATTTTTGTATATTTTTAGGATGTTTTCTAAAATTTTCACATTTTTTGAATTTTTTAATTTTTCATAAAATTGTTTTCATTTTTTTTATTGTTCAATTTTTTCTTGAATTTTTAATTTTTTTATATTTTATAAAATTTTTTACTAATACTAATAATGTAATGATGATATAACGATAATTAAACGTTTTTTATATGTGTTACGATTTTATCAAGTATTGATGCCATATCAGTAATTTGATTAACGATGTTAAGTAAAACATCAAAGTGCAAAATAAAATAAAAGTTCAAATTCTTAATTATGAATTTTAGTTCATTAGATATAAATTTATTGAAAATATATAATACATAAGTATTTTTTTTATATTTAACCCTATCAATAAATAAATATTTTAACGTGCTAAAAAAAACCTTATTAAAAAATAAAAATAAAAATAAAAGACAATAGTAACTTGAGTAAAAGGAGTTTTCAACTTTTTAACCTAAAAATTAGGGTTAATAATATTTGTAATATCTAAATTTTAACTTAAATTTTATTTTTATTTTTAAATTTTAAAAAATTTTAATCGGATTCTCAATTGATTAAAGTTGTCTTATTTTGATCCTTTCGTCTATAAAACCATTTAAATTGATAATAAACATTATATGGTGTCATATAATAACGCTAATTTGCATTTTACTTCGGCAGAGAAATGATCTAAATAGAATTCTCTCAAAATTTAAAAATTAAAGATGAAATTATTTTAAAATTTTATATATTTTTTATAAAATATTAAATTTAAAATTATAATTTAATATTTTAGAAAAAAAGTTTTTTTAGATAAAAAATAATATTTTTTATTATGATCTTTGAATAAAATAATATTTTTAATAAAATATAATTTTTTGTTTTTAAAATGTATTGAATTTAAAAAAAAGAATCTAAATTTTTGAATTAAATTTTAAGTTTTGAATATCTATTTTCAATTTAAAACTAAAATTTACCTAATAAATTATATTAGAACAAAAATATGAAAATAAAATTTTAAATTTAATATTTTTATAAAATATGTATAAAAAATATATAAAATATATAAAATTTTTAAATAATTTTATCATTTATGAAAAAATTAAAATAAGATAACTTTAATAAATTAAAATTTTAATTAAAATATTTAAAATATGAGGAATCAAAATAAAATTTGAATCAGAATTTAATATCTGTTATTAACCTTAATAATTAAGAAGATTTAAAAAGACATAAATTAAGAGTTCGAACGCAAATTTGGCCAAAAAAAAGAAAGAAAAAGAAAAAAACACCAAATTCCTAATATCCCCAAAATTTATTTTCCCTCTTTTTTAAAGGCACTGCACATCTGGCAAACCAAAAAATCCTTTCTTTTTCCCGTATTTCACCGCCTTTTCAACCATCGGTCTCGTTTATAATTACTTCCCCCATTCCCTTCTCCGATTATACTTCCTTTAGCGCTAGGCTTAGGGTTTATTTTTCAGAAGTGCTCTCAATTTCGATCGTATTTCTGGTACGTACTTTCCTATTTTTTGAGCTAGGGTTTTGCTTCTCTATCTTTTGTCCTTTTGTTTTTTAAAAAGATAATCTTGATTCTTAGTTATATTTCACAACTCCCATGATCTTTGCTTGTTTATTTGTAATCTGTAATCGGTTCTTTCTTTTGAAATCGTAATCAACTATAGGCTTTTCCTTTTTCATTTAACCTTGTGAGCCACGGCGTCTGATGTGACATTGTTTAGAAATTTTGCTTTTCGCAATTTTTTTTTTTTGCTCCCTCTGATTTTGTTGTTAGCGTTTTCGTCAATGTTTGGATGTTCATGTTATATTATTTTTTAATTTATCCATATAGATTTTATTTGTGTCTGAATTTTTGTTTGCCCATTTCATGCTAAGGTTTTGTTAATTTTTGTGGTTTGATTGTTTGGTATTCGACGTTATGAATTTTTTTGTTATATGCTTTTACAGATTTTAATTTTAAGAAACCTTAGCTCCTATTTACACAATGGAGCGCAAGACTATTGAATTGGATCAGGGATGGGATTATATGCAGAAGGGGATCACAAAGCTGAAGAGGATTTTGGAAGGATTGCCAGAACCTCCATTTAGCTCAGAAGAATATATGATGCTTTACACGTATCACTAATTACTTATTTTCAGTTTTGTTGATTCTTTTCGAGCCACGGACTTATTATTTATAATCATCTGGTATTTTTTATCCTCATCATCTTTCATTAATTGGAACCACTACAGGACTATCTACAACATGTGTACTCAAAAGCCACCTCATGATTATTCTCAGCAGCTTTATGACAAGTACCGAGAGGCGTTTGAGGAATATATTACATCTACAGTAAGGAATTTAGAGTCTTGTCTGCCATCACTTGGTTGCTGAGTGCTGACTAGTCTGTGTAGATAGATAGTGATTTATATAAAACTCAGTTTATTATGGAGGCATTGTTTTACTGCTATGATTTCAAGGATGTTAATGTAATTAGTCCTCTCTTGGGGAATTATTGCTGAAATCCTCCCCTTTTTTTTTTTCCTTCTTTGCATGACAAAGGGATTTGACCAACATCTTTTAGAATGCATATTCCATGGAGTGAAAGCAATGCTATATTTCATTTACTTTGTTTTAGCTTCTATATTCCAAGAGCTTTGGTTGCATTTGTTTGATGTTTTCTATATTATATTGTTTTTTAAAGATTGTAATAACTCATTTGCTTTGTTGATTTTTTAAGCTCCATGGTTTTATTGGTTGATACTTTTGCAAATTCTTCTTTTACTAGCTTTCTTCTCAGCAGGAACCCTTGAAAGTTTTTTATCCATCCATCTACTTTGTGTGGTAAATATGCTTTTTGCTCATATTTCCTCCTTTTTAAAATAGGTATTACCATCTTTAAGAGAGAAGCATGATGAGTTCATGCTGAGGGAGCTTGTTAAAAGATGGGCAAACCATAAAGTGATGGTCAGGTGGCTATCACGCTTCTTCCATTACCTAGATCGCTATTTCATTGCCCGCAGATCACTTCCTGCACTTAATGAAGTTGGCCTGACCTGCTTCCGTGATCTGGTTTGTTATTAGTTCTTCTAATGACACATTTATCCAATACTAATTATGGCATAATGAGTTGGATTTTGAGAATTGTGCTGCCCATTATTTCAAATATGCTCTTAACTAATTGTATACTATCTATTTTACTAATCTCAGGTATATCGAGAAGTGCATGACAAAGTCAGAGATGCTGTAATTGTCCTTGTAAGTTTCCATCATTATGTCATGGTTAATTGTATTTTTAGGTTGCATTTTGAATAAAAACTAAAGAGTAACAGTTACTTCATATCAGATTGATAAAGAACGTGAGGGAGAGCAGATAGACCGAGCATTATTGAAGAATGTGTTAGATATTTTTGTTGAAATTGGCATGGGCCAAATGGTTCGTTATGAAGATGATTTTGAAGCAGATATGCTTGAGGATACTGGTGCCTACTACTCACGGAAGGCATCAAGCTGGATTGAGGATGATTCTTGTCCAGATTACATGTTGAAGGCAAGTACTTTGCTGTTCCTGCATTTATATTTTTATAGGTTATAAGTTTTTCACCTTGGTTAACCCAGATGGTTCTAATTGTTTTTATTTTAATGATAATTGCAGTCTGAAGAATGCTTGAAGAAGGAAAGGGACAGAGTGTCTCATTACCTGCATTCAAGCAGTGAGACAAAATTGTTAGAGGTCAGTTGAATGGTTGGAAAGTTATAGTTTAATGAAGAGCTTTTTCTGTGAGCTTTAGCTTGGCTTGAGGGTGCACTTTTTTTTCTTCGGAGAGAAAATCTGTTTAATTTTCTTCTATAAGAGGTGACTTAAATGAATAGTGTTTGATGTGTGAAACATTGTCACTAAGATATTACAATAGAAGTTGTGTGAATTCTTTTCAAGTGGAAAGATCTGGTTGCTTTTATCTATTTTCTTCTAGCTACCTAGAAATGGAGATTGCATGTTTTTGACTTATCCAATGACATGGAATAATATAGGCATGTGATAAGAATAAACAGAGACATCCTATTAAGACGGCTTTATAATTCCTAGAGCACTCTACTTATAGCTGTTTGTTCTTTATCTAGAAAGTGCAACATGAGTTGTTGGTCATGTACGCAAATCGGCTACTTGAAAAGGAGCATTCAGGATGTAGGGCCTTGCTTAGAGATGACAAGGTATCATCCAACCTTGTTTCTTTGCTAGCAATGCTTACTCTTCTGGCTGTTTGCTTTGGAAAATATATAATCAGATAGTTATTTGGCTTTGTTTACACTCTGTAGCTGGAGGATCTCTCTAGGATGTACAGGCTTTATTGTAAAATACCTCGAGGCTTGGATCCTGTTGCTAATATATTCAAGCAGGTCTGAATATCCTGTTTATTCTGCAAGCTAAATGCCCATCTTTCTCATGTTACTTTATGATTTTACTGACTCTTTGTGAGTAATTACTTTTTGCAGCATATTACAGCTGAGGGTACAGCCTTGGTTGAACAGGCGGAAGATGCTGCAAGTAACCAGGTTAATTGCTGGATACATTTATTGATTTCCTTCTGTACTAGAAGATAAATCATGAAGATTTTTTCTGGATTGTAATTGTGTGCTTGTGAGGGGATGAAATCCTTTTCTTTTAGACTAATAAAATGGGTACAAGAGTAGTATTTAAACATATCAGTGTGGCATGTTGATTTTTATCTTCATTTGTTATTGTGGTTGTGCAGTTCTTGTAACTGTTAAGTTTGATTTGCCTTTGACATGCCAATATTCCCATTTTATTTCTCTTTAGGAAAAAGAGAGTTAATTCCAACTAATACAGACTAAAATTTTCCCACAATTGATGGAAAAATAGATGATCATATTCATTTTTGTTTTGAATAATCACCTGTCTGGTTCTAAGTGCTGATATTCACTCATTTCCACAGGCCTCAAATGCTCCTGGTGTGCAGGAACAGGTAAATATCCCAACTTTTACAGCTATGGATTCTTTTGAAATCTGTAAAAATGTTGAAAATTGTTACTTCTGTCATTGTTAGGACCTTATCAGCAAAATTATCAAGCTGCACAATAAGTACATCGTGTATGTGACTCGCTGCTTTCAAAACCATACTCTGTTCCACAAGGTTTGTGTTGGAACACCTAAATTTGTAATATGGATCTGGTTCAGTCGTGTTATCTAAAATTTGTAATAAGAATAAACAGAGACTTCCTATTAAGACTGCTTTATAATTCCTAGAGCACTCTACTTATAGCTGTTTGTTCTTTATCTAGAAAGTGCCACATGAGTTGTTGGTCATGTACGCAAATCGGCTACTTGAAAAGGAGCATTCAGGATGTAGGGCCTTGCTTAGAGATGACAAGGTATCATCCAACCTTGTTTCTTTGCTAGCAATGCTTACTCTTCTGGCTGTTTGCTTTGGAAAATATATAAATCAGATAGTTATTTGGCTTTGTTTACACTCTGTAGCTGGAGGATCTCTCTAGTAAGTACTGGCTTTATTGTAAAATACCTCAAGGCTTGGATCCTGTTGCTAATATATTCAAGCAGGTCTGAATATCCTGTTTATTCTGCAAGCTAAATGCCCATCTTTCTCATGTTACTTTATGATTTTACTGACTCTTTGTGAGTAATTACTTTTTGCAGCATATTACAGCTGAGGGTACAGCCTTGGTTGAACAGGCGGAAGATGCTGCAAGTAACCAGGTTAATTGCTGGATACATTTATTGATTTCCTTCTGTACTAGAAGATAAATCATAAAGATTTTTTCTGGATTGTAATTGTGTGCTTGTGAGGGGATGAAATCCTTTTCTTTTAGACTAATAAAATGGGTACAAGAGTAGTATTTAAACATATCAGTGTGGCATGTTGATTTTTATCTTCATTTGTTATTGTGGTTGTGCAGTTCTTGTAACTGTTAAGTTTGATTTGCCTTTGACATGCATTTTATTTCTCTTTAGGAAAAAGAGAGTTAATTCCAACTACTACAGACTAAAATTTTCCCACAATTGATGGAAAAATAGATGATCATATTCATTTTTGTTTTGAATAATCACCTGTCTGGTTCTAAGTGCTGATATTCACTCATTTCCACAGGCCTCAAATGCTCCTGGTGTGCAGGAACAGGTAAATATCCCAACTTTTACAGCTATGGATGCTTTTGAAATCTGTAAAAATGTTGAAAATTGTTACTTCTGTCATTGTTAGGTCCTTATCAGGAAAATTATCGAGCTGCACGATAAGTACATGGAGTATGTGACTCGCTGCTTTCAAAACCATACTCTGTTCCACAAGGTTTGTGTTGGAACACCTAAATTTGTAATATGGATCTGGTTCAGTCATGTTATCTAAAACATGCTTCGTTGAAATGTTCAATAGGCATTGAAAGAGGCTTTTGAGGTATTTTGCAACAAAACTGTTTCTGGCAGCTCAAGTGCTGAGCTTTTGGCAACTTTCTGTGATAATATCCTGAAGAAGGGTGGAAGTGAGAAATTAAGTGATGAAGCCATTGAAGAAACACTTGAGAAGGTAGCTTTATCCACCATTTTTATACTGAATTTATGGTGATCTGAAATTGATTCTGAACTATCTGTTTGGTTTCTGCAGGTAGTTAAGCTGTTTGCCTATATTAGTGACAAAGACCTCTTTGCCGAATTCTACAGGTGAGGTTTTTTTTTTTGTCAATTAGTTTCACATCTGCTTGTTTTTAAAAAAAGAAAAAAAAAAAAAACCCTTTAAAGGCATGAGTTTGCATGGTACATTTTGATCCTAACTTTATGGTGTGCAATCATTGACAGGAAGAAACTCGCTCGGCGACTGCTTTTTGACCGCAGTGCTAATGATGATCATGAAAGGAGTATTCTGACTAAGCTAAAGGAGCAATGCGGTGGACAGTTCACCTCGAAGATGGAGGGCATGGTGAGTTGGCCTGACTTTTGCTTAGTTTATTTTTCTGCATTAATTACGGTTTAAATTGTGATGAAACTTGTCTTCTACCTTCATGACAGGTGACAGATCTGACATTGGCAAGGGAAAACCAGGCCAGCTTTGAGGACTATCTTAGAAATAACCCAGCTGCACATCCTGGGATCGATTTAACAGTTACTGTTCTTACCACAGGATTCTGGCCAAGTTATAAATCATTTGATCTCAATCTCCCTGCTGAGATGGTAATGACTTCTAACATGTTATTGTATGATGACAGAATTAGAGCTCTTACTCCAGCATGTCTTCAGAAATTTTATTTGTTTCAGGTCAAGTGTGTGGAAGTTTTCAAAGGATTTTATGAAACAGAAACAAAACATAGAAAGCTTACATGGATATACTCTCTGGGAACTTGCCACATTAATGGCAAGTTTGAGGAGAAAACTATTGAGTTGATTGTTTCAACTTATCAGGTAAACCGACTCTGTAAACTGTGTGCGCTTTTTAAATTGAAAAATTGTGGTTTGGGTTGGATTTATGTCTTTGTCTTGCTGGGTTGCGGTGTTGAACTTTGATTGTGGAATCTAATTTCCAGTTGCCTATGTAAACAGGCTGCTGTCCTCCTTCTGTTTAATGCTTCTGATCGGCTGAGCTATTCAGAGATCATGGCTCAGTTGAACTTGACCCATGATGACTTGGTCAGGTTACTACATTCGCTGGCATGTGCCAAGTATAAGATTCTAAGTAAAGAGCCAAACACAAAAACCATCTCCCAGAGTGATTACTTTGAGTTCAACTCTAAGTTTACTGACAAGTTGAGGAGGATTAAGGTCTGGGATAGTTTTGCAACTCTCTTTTATGTTATTATTGCTTTTGGTATTTATTTGAATGAGAGGTTCTACCTTTGGAAATAACCTTGTAAACTATCCTATGTAGATTCCTCTCCCTCCAGTGGATGAAAGGAAGAAAGTTGTTGAAGATGTTGATAAAGATCGGCGTTATGCTATTGACGCTGCAATTGTGCGCATAATGAAGAGTAGGAAAGTTTTGGGCCACCAACAATTAGTTTCAGAGTGTGTTGAGCAGTTGAGTCGCATGTTCAAGGTATTAATATACGCTAACCCTTTATCTGACAGTTTGTGAGAGAAACATTAGATGTATAGATGGGGATATCAGGTTGCCTTAACTGACAGAAAACCACACACAGGCACATGCAAGCCAAACATACACTGTATGAAAATAATCTTTTAAAGAATGAAAAGCTAGAGGACAAAAAGATCTATGAGATTTGGGTAGAAAGGTGGAAAAACGACTGGTTCTCTTATCCAAAGGAAGTTTACTTTTGAGAATGATGCATGTAAATAAAAGATGAGAGGTGATAGATTTTTATTTTAAATGAAAAGTGATGAAATGGAAGGAGTGGGGTTATCAAATTGGATAAAAACATCGACTTTTTTATAGGTGATTAACGTGTTGTGTTTCTGTGATCAAACACATGCACGGAAACTGGAAAGTAAGTAATAGGTGATAGGTTGTTTAATTACATAACTTCTTAGTAGTTGGTACTAATTACATAGGATGTGGTTGGGATTTGCAGCCTGATATTAAAGCCATCAAGAAGCGGATGGAGGATCTCATCACACGAGACTATCTGGAGAGAGACAAAGATAATCCAAACTTGTTTAGGTACTTGGCCTAAGTAGGTCCTTCCCAATGGAACGTGGGAAGTGGTACAGTCAGATGGATTTACAATGCTCCCCCACTGAAATCCACATATTTTTTTCTGGGTACCTTGTGTAAAGTTCAACGAAGTTTTAATTGTCTATTGAAATTTAATTAGTGTTTCACTTTAAATTTCATCAGTATGAATATTACATGAGTAGTTAACTTTTAAATTACGTTTATTTAGTGTCTCACATCTATACATATTTTGAAAAAAATTCTCAATGAAATTATCAAATTATTGTCTTATTATTTGATAAAAAATTGACACATGATCAATTATTATTATGTTTTTATATCATAATTATGAAAATATTTTTATGTTATAATTATTTTCTATAATATCCTTATTTCATATTTACGGAAATATTTGATTTTTAAATTAATTGTTATAGTTTTATATCATAATTATAAAAATACTCATAGGCAATAGTTATTTATTATAATATCTTCATTTTATAATTACAGAAATATTTCTTTTCTTATTATTGAATTGTAAAAATAATTTTCTATTATTGATAAAAATTATTATAATATTTTTATATCATAATTATAAAAATATTTTTTCTCATAATTGATTAAAATTATTATAATAATGTTTTTATCATAATTTTGAAAATATTTTTATGAATATTTAATAAGAATTAGACATGTGATATTTTATTGTAACATAAATTAAAATAATTCTTTTGATAATCATATATATATATATATATATTACAATATACATAATTTTTAGATAAAATTTATTGACATGGATATTTGTATGATTTTTTTTTTTTGACGCGTAAAAAAGTTTCTTAAATTTCTTTCTTTAAGTATACATAAGATATTTATTAATTTTAAATTATTAATTAAAAATATATTTTAAAAATTATTAAATTATCTAAAAATTTTAAATTTTAAATAAAAATCAGTTTAAATTCAAATAAAATTTTCTTATCTCATGTATTATCTCATCTCTCGTAACATTCAACAAACCAATCAGATGAACTTTCCATTTAAAAATAAGTTTTTTCATTTTAAATGGTCTTCCACTTTATGTCATGCTCCTGAGTAATTTTAAAATGTTTTCAATTTCTCAAGCTAAATTATCTTGTTTTTAATTTGTCTCTCACAACTGCTTACTCCTCTCACGCTCCTTAGATGCACCTAAAGGACACTACCATCTACTTTTTTTTTTTAGTCTTGGAAGTGACATTCTGAGGTTTGTTTGCAGGGAAGAAAAAATGACTGAGACAAAAAGTTTAGCAGTGGTGCGCAGTAGGCAAATGGGTTCTGGCATAGCTCAGCTTGGTGCCATGCATGGTCTCCATGTTTGGCTCCTTGAAACTGACCCTGTTGCACTTTCTAGAGCCTCCAAAGCTATCTCTTTTTCCCTTCAACGTTTTGTTTTCAAAGGTCATCTGCCCCAAGTAAAATTGGTTTTTTTTTTTTTTCATCTAATTTGTTGATTGTTTTAAGTTTGGTTTTGATGTGATTTGAAGTCTTGAACCAGGAGATTTTTTTCAGTTTAACACTCGATCTTCTGACAGTTTGCAGTTATACCATATTTGTACATATTGATGAATTGAATAAATAGTTTTGGTAAAGGGATTCTTTTTGATGAAAAGATGTTTTTTTTTATATAATCAGCCACTCCACATGATGCGTTAATTAGATATTATCATATTTACACCAAGCTGTTGTCAAATAGTTAGTAAATTTTTTTTAATTCATTCAAGTAATAGCAAATGAAAAATTAATTAAATAATGCTTAATTCAATATTTTATATAATTATTTTTAAAAAATAATATTTAGTAGATTTGTGATTCAAATTCTAATATTTGTAATTTTTTTTCTATTATCAGATGATAGCTCTTATTATAAAATAAATAAAAAATTAATTTAAATTCGGTTCATTGTATCTTATCTTGAGATATTATATGCCCAATTAAGAAAATATTTTAGTGACTAATTATATTCTTTAATTCTATCTTTCTATACACGTTAGAATAAGGAAGTTCTTCCAATGACCTTTATCTAAGAATAGCAGGCCAATCTGTGCTTCCAATATCATTGTAGCTTTATTATTTTTTATAGGGTTAATGTTACAAATAATTTTTGAACTATAATAAAACATTTAATGCAATGTTTAAATTTTAAAATTTTATAATATAATACCTTAATTATAAATATACTAATTAATATAATATTTAAAAAGTTATTTGTCTATTATGTGTCATCATTTAAAATTAGTTACATTAAAGATAAATATTATATTAGTTACAGAATCACAATTCAAGTATCGCATTAGAAATTTTTAAAATTTAAGTATTATATTAAATATTTCATTATAATTTATTAGCTATACATGGTATTAACCTTTTTTTATTACTATTGTTACGGCATTTTTATGGTAAAAATGATATAATGGTCTTTTATCAAAAAAGAATGACTCACCAACAACTTAGGATTATTTTTATCATTTGATCTGAGTTGATATGGCAAGTTGACCTTATTCTTTAGAGTTCATATCAACTCGATCAATATCATTCTACTTGACAACGTGTGAATATGATGATTTGTTACTTTTTTGTTGGGTTTTTTTTGCCATGTCAAGTTGAGTTGACCTCATCAGCACTAAATTCAATTCCAAAAGCTTGGATCACTATGATTTGAATACCTTTTCTCTCGAGTATAATACTTTTTCTCCTCCTAAGTATGGATAATCACTTATCCATTCTCTTTATAGGTTCCACTATTTATCTATTCTGAACACTGAGTTTAGTGTTGAAATACAAATATCAGATATAACTCTGATCTTTATTTTTTATGGATCTCCATTCTCATTTGATTTTCAAATCTTTAACCTTTCAAGTTGAGCTCAACACCAAGAACTATAAAATAAAATAATATCAATAAGTGTTAAATAAAAAAATAGCCCTTATGCAATACACTTTCTATCAATTTAGTATTTAGAGAAACAAAATTCACAATTATGTAGTAAAACTTTTGTTTCGTCGTACACTTTGATACTTTAGACTAACGTTGTTAGTCAAATTACTAACATAGTATAAATACTCAATAAAATCATAACACTTGTAAAAAATGTACAATTATCATTAGAGGTATATTAAGTTGAGTTCAATTGATATAATAAGAAATTTGAGCTCATATTCGATTCGAAATTCACTATTTAAAACTCAACTCGAACTTGCTTGAATTTTAATTTTTAAATTTAAATTCAACTTGAGATAAAAATTGAACTACTTGAACTTGTTTGATTAAGCTCGTTTATCATATAAAAAAAAATAATTCCTATGCTCAACATCAAGCTCTAGCTCAAATTAATTTACATAAAGGTAAAATAGTAGTTTTCAATTAAAATAATTAAAATATATTAAACTATAAAAACTTGATTAGGCCCAAACTACTTGAATCAAGTATTAGGATGCTTGTACTCGGCTCACCCAATAAGTCGAACTACTCAAGCTCGGTTAGACAATGATCAAACTGAATTTAAATTTTATTTGAGTCAAGTCTAAGTAGTTTGTAAATTAATGTATTATTTATACCCTTAGTTATCACGGCGTTATATTAGAAGAAATCTACAAAAAATAAAAAAAATAAATTTTTAAAATTTTTAAAAAAATTTATTTTTTTGAAAATTTAAAATAATTAAAAAAACTGAAAATTAAAAAATCTTAAAATTTTCAAAAAAAAATCCTAAAAAATTAAACAAATCCAAATTTTTTCAAAAAAGATTCAAAAACATTTAAATAAAAAAAATCAAAAACAAATTTGAAAAACTAAAAGTAATTAAAAAATTTTAAAATAGTTAAAACTTAAAAAAAATTCCAAAATTTTAAAAAATATAAAAAATTTTAAAAAGTAAATAAAATGGAAAAATACTTTAAAAATTCCAAAAAATAAAAAGTTTTTTGTAAAATTTTAAAAAATCCAAAAATTTTTAAAAAAGTGAGAAATTTTAGAAAAAATTGTAAAAAATGAAAAAAAAATCTGAAATATTAAAATTTTGAAAAAAAATAAAAAATGTATTTTAAAAAATCTACTAAAAATCTGAAAAATGAAAAAAAATCCAAAGAATTTAAAAAATATGAAAAACTTTATAAGAAATAGAATTTAAAAAAAAATCAACAAAATTGAAAAAATTAAAATGTCAAAACTTAAAAAGTAAAATTAAAAAAAATCTAAAAAACAAAAAAAAATCGTTGGGCTATATTTCTTATTTTTATATGGTAATATTTTTGAAGTTTTTCAATTTTGAATTTTTTAAAAATATTCAACTTTTTAAATTTTTTCTTTTTTTTTATAGAATTTTTATAAAACATTTTCAGTTTTTTTTTTTTAATTTATTTTGGATTTTTTAACGTTATAGATTTTTTTTATTTTTTTGGATTTTAAAATAAAATTTTTTATTTTTTATTTTTTAAAGTTTCCAATATTCGATTTTTCATTTTTTTTGGAATTTTTCAAAAAATTTTCATTTATTTTGAATTTTTTGGATTTAAAATATTTTTTTCTATTTTGGATTTTCAATTTATCGATTTTTTGATTTGTTAGTTTAGGAATTTATTTTTAATTTTTTAATTTTTCATATTTTCCCTTTTTTAAACTTCATTGGAATTTTTTTATAAAAAATTTATTTTTTTGAAAATTTTAGGAAATTTTTTAATTTCTCTAATTTTTGTATATTTTTAGGATGTTTTTAAAAATTTTCACATTTTTTGAATTTTTTAATTTTTCATAAAATTGTTTTGATTTTTTTTAATTGTTCAATTTTTTCTTGAATTTTTTATATTTTATAAATGTTTTTACTAATATTGATAATGTAATGATGATATAACGATAATTGAACATTTTTTATATGTGTTATGATTTTATCAAGTATTGATGTCATGTCAGTAATTTGATTAACGATGTTAAGTAAAACATCAAGGTGTATAATAAAATAAAAGTTCAAATTCTTAATTATGAATTTTAGTTCATTAGATATAAATTTATTGAAAATATATAATGCATAAGTATTTTTTTTATATTTAACCCTATCAATAAATAAATATTTTAGCGTGCTAAAAAAAACCTTATTAAAAAATAAAATAAAAAAAAAGACAATAGTAACTTGAGTAAAAGGAGTTTTCAACTTTTTAACTAAAAATTAGGGTTAATAACATTTGTAATATCTAAATTTTAACTTAAATTTTATTTTATT